TATATATATATATATATATTTTGGTTTTTTGAGACAGGAAACCCTGTCTTGAAAAACCAAAAAAAAAGTAATTCTTGGCAGAAAAAAATAATAATAACAAGGCCATGAAGGGTGAAAGAGAGCCTCAGAGCACACCCTTCCTCGGTCAGGGCCTCGGGTACAGCTCTCCCCGCCCGACTGTCTCTGATTCATTTCTGGCGCTGTGATAAAATGCCTGGGCAAAAAGCCACTTGGGGAGAAACAGCCTGTGCCAGCTCCCAGTGACACGTTACAGCCCCTCAGCGAGGGGAGGTCGAGGCGGCAGGAGCTTGAAGCAGTTGGTCACCTCACGTGTGCAGGCAAGAGAAGAGAAAGAAATGCACCTGTGCTTAGTGTTGGGCTAAACCTCTGCCCTACACAAGCCAGAACCCCAAACCGGGGAGCTGTGACACCCACTCTACACTGCATCTCCCTATCAATAACGATCAAGACAACCCCCCACAGACACACCCACAGGCCAACCCGTTCTTTCCGGTGATTCTAGGGTCAAATTGACAGTTAAAACTACCCACCATGGCTGGGCGGTGGTGGTGCACGCCTTTAATTCCAGCACTTGGGAGGCAGAGCCAGGCAGATCTCTGTGAGTTCAAGGCCAGCCTGGACTACAGAGTGAGTTCCAGGACAGGCTCCAAAGCTACACAGAGAAACCCTGTCTCAAAAAGAACAAACAAAAACTACCCATCATACTGGGTGATTATTTTTTCTTAAAGAAAGGAAAGAAGGAAGGAGGGAGGGAGGGAGGAAGGGAGGATAAACTCTGAGGGCGTTAGTCAGATCATGTCAGTGTTTTGAGGTTCCAAGGAAGCAAATCATCCGCAGCCCGTGTTCGGCCCGTGACTGTTTGGTCCTGTGAACCGGAGCTGAACATACGGTGTGTTCTAGAGAGCCACTCACATCATAGCCAGCAGGAAGCAGAGGATGATGGGAAGTGGCTGGGATAAAGAACTACCCCCTGTAACCTACTTCTTCCCATACGGCCCCACCTCCCCAAATTCCTAGAACCTCCTGAAATTGTACAGACCAAACATTTAAAACAAGAATCTGTGTGGGACATTTCACATTCAAGACATAACAATGGGAATGGACCCCGACATCTCCCCTTCAAGAGTGCCCTCCTTCCACAGGGACATTCCAGGAGATGGCATCTTTTGGGTACCAGGAGTTGACCCTAGGACTTCGAACATACTAGGTGAATATTCTATCCTAAGCTACACTTTCAGACTTTCTTTACTCATTGGAAACAAGGTCTCACTAAGTTGCAAGGCTGTCCTTAAACTTGCAATCCTCCAGCCTCAGCCTTCCAAGTACCTGGGATTATAGGTGTATGCCACCATGCCCAGCAGAAGGCATTTGCATCTGTGTGTGCACACATGTGTGGGTATTCATGCAGTTGTGTACACATGCATGTGGAGACCAGAGGCCAGCACCTGAGTTCAAGTCCCTGGCACCCATGTGAAGATGGGGCATGCTGGTATGTGCCTGTGCCTTGGCTGCCCTTCTATCACCGTGAAGAGACACCATGACCAAGGCAACTTGTAAAGCATTTCACTGGGGCATGTTACAGTTTCAGAGGGTGAGTCCGTGATCATCATGGGAGAGCATGGTGGCTGGCAGGCAGGCATGCGAGCAGTACCTGAGAGCTTGCATCTGATCTGCAAGAAAGAGGCAAAGAGAGAAAGAGAGGCTGGACCTGCTGCGGGCTTTTGAAACCTCAAAGCCCACCCCAGTGACACGCCTCTTCCAACAGGCCACACCTCCTCCAACAGACCACACCTCCTCCAACAGGCCACACCTCCTCCAATAGACCATATGTCCTCAACAGGCCACACCTCCTCCAAAAGGTCACACCTCCTCAACAGGCCACGCCTCCTCCAACAGGTCACACCTCCTCCAACAGGCCACACCTCCTCCAACAGGCCACACCTCCTCCAACAAAGCCATACCTCCTATTCCTCCTAAACAGTTTCACCAACTGGGAACCAAACATTCAAATATATGAGCCTATGGGGGCCATTCTTATTTAAACCACCACGGCTTGTAATTCCAATACCGCTGTGGTGGAGACAGGAGGATGTCTGGGACTCTCTGGCCAGTCCAGGTGAACCAGTCAGCTCCAGGTTAAGTAGAAACTCTGCCTCAAAAAACAAGAAGTGTTTTCTCACTTAAATGTGAGAATGTGTTACTCACTTAAAGAGAGAGGATGTGTGTGCACTCATGCCGTGGCGTGCATATGGAGGTCAGAGGATGACTCAAGGGAGCAGCTTCTCTCTCTCCATCATGTGGGTCTCTGGGGATCGAACTCCAGCCATTAGTGCTGGCAGCAAGCACCTTTACCTGCACTACGTCTCAGCTACCTACTTTTAAATTGTTTGAAAGATGAGCAGAAGGTCCAGGGACGCAGCTCAGCACAAAAGTGCATGCTTCAAATGTAAAAGGCCCCGGGTTCCATCCCAGTACAAGAAGTAAATTGCTATATAATATAATATAATATAATATAATATAATATAATATAATATAATATAATATAATATAATATAATATAATATAATACAGTACAATACAATAAATATAATATAATACAATACAACATAATATGAAAGGAGCCCCAGTCCCGGTGGCGCAAGCCCCTACACAGTCAAGCAGTGAGGATTCAAGACCCTTGACCGAGCCTACGAGGCCCTGAGCCATGCCCTTTGCAGGGTCCTCAGCACAGGTGCCGATGCCCTCATCCCACAGCAGCGACATTCCGAAGACACACACGGAAGACCATCTGCCCTCCTGGAGACAGTGCTCTGCAGCTGTGGGGCACTCTGCGGCCTCTCCTGTGCACCCTGCCTCTGCAGTAGAGACCCCGACACCTGCAGCAGCCTTTCCCCTTCTGAAACAGGAGCTCACGTCCACAGTGCTCAGGAATGAAGTCTTGTGCAGCAGCCGCACCACCAACCCGAATCCCTCAGACTCCTTTGTGAACTCTGCTGCCCCTACTGCTGCAAGGGCACACCTGGACAGGACACCTCTTTCTTGTTGCCAACCCGACTGCATCTGAAATCAACTAAACCCAAGCAGCTGGCCGCACCTGTGAGGGATTTTTTCCGATTGGACCATTTGAGGTGAAAAGACCCACGCTAAACCTGGGCCATGCCTGCTGGTGGCAGCCCACATAAAATGACGGAAGGAAGCTTTTGCATTTGCCTGCTTACCCTCACTCTCACTGGCAAGTTCACCCATCGTGTCGCTGAGGCGTTCCTTTGACGGGATTAGAACCTGCTTCTTCAGGATTCCAGTGTGTACTGACGGCCAGCTGAGACGGCCAGCCCCGCGGGCCGAACAGCCGTTAGACTCTTGGCCCTTGTTGGACCAGCTAGACCACAGCCTATAAGCCACTGCAGTCGATCCCCTTTTTGGCAGAGGTGGATCCAGTCTCTCTGTTCTGTCCCTCTGAGAATCCTGACACTCGGTTCATATGAAAGTTTCCCTCAGGAGTGCTTTGCTTGGTCTACCCTGGCGCTTGGGGCTCTTTTCTTGGGAGGTCCCGTTGAGCCCACCAGGATATTTTGAGGCACTCTCTTGTCGCCCCTTTTGGGGTGACTCTAGCATGACTTCACCGGGACAGGGCCCCCAGTTAAAAGGCTCAGTGTGCCAACTCCCTTGTAGCTGGCTGCGATCAGCCAAGTGTGGGCTGCCCAGCTGCCTCTGAGCCTCACGGCTGCCCGCTCTCCTTGGTTTGGGGGCTCCTTCCTCCAATTTCAAACCCAGCAGCTTGAGATCTTCAAACTCGCCCCTCTCTCTTTCTAAGTTGGGGAAGTCCACAAACGTTTCCTTCCCACACACCTCTCCGTGGGCTATTTAATGCAATACTGTGAGGTGTGGTGAGCTGGGTTTCGTTTTTATCTAATGAGGCCAAAAGCGGAAAGGAGAAGGGAAGTGGCCAGGACTGGGCTCTGGCGCGGCATTCCAGGCTGCACTGCTCAGAGCCACCACCAGGGGGCACACGGGGCCGTGGAATGCACTTCTTGTTCAGCGGCTTTCTCTGCTCCTGTCTGCTCCTGTCTGCCTGGCTCTGCTAACTTTGGGAACTGTCCCTCTCTGGCTCCAAGTGGCAGAAACAGTTCCACTGATCCACATGTCGCCGTCACAGGGCACCTGTAGCCCGTTACTTGGGAGGTTCAGGCAGGAGAATCGCTTCAGCCCAGCAGTTCTCAGCCAGCCTGGGTAACACAGGGAGGGAGACCGTCCCTCAAGGGGAGCACGTTGACTGGTGTGTTTCCAGCCCAAGGGACACGGGAGACTGGAGGCGCCTCTCTGTGGTGACCGACTTCCACTCCCAGCAGCCACTGTTCCCAAACCCGTTTGTGCGGTCGGACTTGTTCTAATTACATTTTTAATTATCAAGTGAGCTGATTACTAGAGTAAAACCAAGCAAAGTTGTCCTGGCAGCAAAGCCAGACAAGGTAAGTAGTGTGGAGCAGAGGAAACTAGAACAATAGGTGTGGGCAGAGAAGTGGGGTGGGGTGAGGGTCCTGGGAACCTCACCAACTTTCTCTCACAATAGTTCCCAAGTGTCTTCGAGCAAGACTGATGGATAGACTCATACCAACACTCATAAAAGGCAGCCCAACGCGATACAACACGTCTGGAATCCCAGCACAGGGAAGGCAGAGGCAGGAGGATCAGGAGTTCAAAGTCACCCTCAGCTACATATGGAGTTCCAAGCCAGCCTGGACTACATGAGGCTGTGAAAGAGAATTCCTGGAAAGAAGCTGTCCCTGCAGAGACTGGCTGGCACCACAGAGGTGTGGAGAGGTTATAATGCTGCAGGTCAAGAGCCTAATGACCTTATCTTGGGCTAGTTTATGCTTCTTCTTCTTCTTCTTCTTCTTCTTCTTCTTCTTCTTCTTCTTCTTCTTCTTCTTCTTCTTCTCCTTTTGTTTGGTTTTTCAAGACAGTTTCTCTGTGTAACAGCTCTGGCTGTCCTGTAGACCAGGCTTGTCTCACAGAGATCCTCTTGCCTCTGCCTCCCAGTGCTGAGGCTAAAGGTGTGAACCACCATTTCCTGCTAGTTTATGCCTCTTAACTAGCCATTCCTCACCCATGTCAGTCCTAATGTTTTGTGACTGATAGAAAAAAAACAAAAAAATCTATTAACTTAGCAGACCACTAGCTTCTACTAACCCCAAAGCTAAGAAAGTCATCGGCTAGAACCTGAGGCCTCAAGGAGAGACTCATCGTCTTGCGACGGCCTCTTTTATGTCTCCACCAAGGCATTTTAAATTTGTATTCATTTTTTAATTTTTATGCACATGAATGTTTTTGCCTGCTCATATGTCTGTGTACCATGTACATGCCTGGTGCTCATGGAGACCAAAGGAGGGCGCTGATCCCCTGCGACTGGACTTATGGTTGATTGTGAGTGCCATGTGGATGCCATGAATTGAACCCACTGCCCTTAAGTGCTGAGCCAATGCTCCAGCCCTACGCTGGATATTTTATTTTTAAAGTGCCTTGTTTTAAGATTTTCTTTATTCTGTTACTATAAAAACTCCAGGAAACTGCTTTCATGTGGGAACATGGAGCCTAGGCCCATGTTTCCTAGAATTTGGTCACTCAAATTTGACTCCAGAATAAATTATCTCTTATTTCCTTTGAGGCAAGGGTTGTGTTTTTATGTCAACAAGACCCATCTCAAATAAATAGATAAAAATAAAAAGCCTTGGGGTGTGTGTGTGTAACTCAGTGGTTAGATTCCCATCACAGTGAAATATGCAGAACCCTTCATTTCATATGGAAGGTGTGTGGATGTCATTTTTCTCCATCTTACTGTAAACTAGAATGTGCACACCCCATCTGCCCTCTCCCCCCCCTTTTTTTTTTAAGATTTATTTATTTATTGTATGTCCATGAGCACTCTATCTGCATATAAGCCAGAAGAGGGCATCAGATCCTACTGTAGATGGTTGTGAGCCACCATGTGGTTGCTGGGAATTGAACTCAGGACCTCTGGAAGTGTTTGTTGCCAGTTCTCTTAGCTGCTGAGCCATCTCTCCAGCGCCCCCTTCCTCCTTCTCTATCTCATCTGTGGATGGACTTAAATCCAGTTAGAGTGCATTGGCCAGAAGGGGCCACTATAAACTGTCCCCAGCTAGAGGAGTAACTTGTGTGACACTTTTTCTAGGGAGATAGAACAGCGTGTCTACTCACTCCAGAGGGGTATCAATGACAGACCCAAGTAAAGATACCACCAAAGGCCAACCAGGTGAAGCCTCGAGTTTCCGGGGTTACTTGCAGGAGCCTGGACAGCCTGAAGCCACCTGCCACTAGAAGCCCAGGTCAGCCGGATGGGTGACAGCTCTGGAAAGCTGGAAATGGGGAGCCAGACTGTCTACTCGGTAAGTTTCAGGGACTTCTTGAGTTATTTTCTTAAGGTCCCTCGTTGTAGCGCTTTCTCAAGCTTCTCTCCAGGATGGGATGTTTCAGTTCAGGGAAAATGACTACAAGCCCTGACTTGGCCCTTGGACAATTGATCTGTTTCTTGGTGGGATTTCCTGTTGGAATCCTGGGAATACTTTGGGGTAACTGAAGCCTGGTGCTGTACGCAGGGCTTGGATGCCTACTTTGGAGGTTGGGGGTTTGAGCCCAGAGATGCCACAGCACAAACTCAAACCCTTGCTGAAGCACAGTGTGATGTCCCCCACGAGCTCTCTGTTGAAGGCTAAGATGCGGTCCCAGTTCAGAGGTGCGGCTTTTGGGGAGCCATCGGATCAAGGGGGCGCTGACTTCATGATGGTCAACTGATACCACTGATGGGTTCATATTGTGATGGAGGGTTACAGTTTTGCAGCAGGACTGGCTAGGTTTCAACCTGTTTTGCCATACCGGGATGGTTTGCAGGGCTCAGGGAAAGCCTCCAAACCCCTCAGGGCTTCAACTTTTTGGAACGTACCATCGACCCAAAGTCCTGCACAGGGCTGAGAGAGAGGAAAAGGGACGGTGCAGCTCCTGGCGCGCACGGGTAGGACGTCCCTCCCGTTTGTGCCCCTCTGGACGAGGCCCGACAGCCCCGGGGCGCTCGGGTCGCTGGGACCCCGACTGGAGCGCGGCCCCTTTAAGGTCGCTTTGGATGACCCAAAGGCCAGAGCGACCCTCTAGCGGCAGTCTCGATGGTAAGTCTTCACTTCCGGCCGGAAGTGCATTTGCGGAGCTGCTTCCGCCGGGGAGACGAGCCCGCGTGCTTCGTCTCGAGGGGAGTTTACTCTGCGGAGCGCGGCCCGGAGGCGCCGTGCGACCTCCGGAAACAGCTCCCGGGGCTTTGGAAACCTCTCCTGGGGCTCGCGCAGCCGCCCACGGGCCGAGCCGCGGGACGGCGGCGGCTTGCGGGGTGCACTGTGCCCCGGCGTCCCACCGGCCGGGCGCCGGCTTCCCGATCGGTGTGCCAGCGCCCACGAGGCCATCGCGTAAACCGAATTGTATTACTCTCTTTTTTTCCCTCTCTCCCACTCAGAAAATGAACTATCCGGCCCCCAGCGACTGGACGAAATCACGCAACAACTCCTTTCTCCTCTGAGGAGTTTCGAGTGACCTCAGCTGGGACCACCAGGTCTGTCGAGCCCGGAGGTTAGAGTGTGCTAAGGGGGACGGACGGTCTGGGGAAAGGCTCCTGTGTGGTTGAACCTGCCCGAGGTGGGTGCAGCCTTGTACCAGACAGCCCGACCTTGACCTAAAGTAAATTCCCAGAGGAACGTGTTCCCTGGGATTAGAGTTTGCAGTTACAGGTGTGAGCATCCTAGCAGCAGTTTGGTGATCATGTATGATACTGCAAACAGGACCCTGGCTAGCGCTGTCAGAGGCCGAGCGCTGCTCGGAACGCCGCAAAGATTTGATGTTTTTTCCTTCTAAAGTAAACATTTGATCTGTTGCTGTAGCTCCTCATTATAGGTGGTTTTTTTGTTTGTGTTTGTTTGTTTTTGTTTTTATGTGTATGAATGTCTGTCTGGTGCCCTCAGAAGCCAAAAGAGTGTACCAGATGCCCTGCAAGTGCAATTACAGGTAGATGTGAGCCCCGGTGTGGAACTGAACCCAGGTCCTCTGTAAGAGCAGCAAGTGCTTTAACCGCTGAGCCATCTCTGCAGCGATAGCACCACCCCCCTCTAAGATAGCGTCTCATTTAGCCCAGGCTGCCCTTGAACTCATCTGTTTGAGGATGGCATTTGAACTTCTGATCCTCCTTCCTCTGCCTCTGGATTGCTGGATTACAGGCACCCTCTACCACACCTGTTTTATGTGGTGTTGGGGATCAAACCCAAGGCTTTGTGCATACTAGGCAGGTACTCTACCTACTATGTACACGCCCACACCCCTCGTGAAGTTTAAACAAAAGGATATGCGTACATTTGTGAGTTCAGATATCACTGTATAAGACAGCTGTACAACCAGACAGACTGATGATAGATAGTTCACCTGGACTCTCCTGAGCAACCAGGGCCCTCACGTGGCTGTCTGTGCAGTGTGGTTGAGGGAGTAGAATTCATATTTTACGTAGCAGCATGGGGCCAGTAGTCACCATGTTGGAGGTCCTGGGTCTGGCACACATCAAGAGTGTTGACAGTAATCTGCCGTAGTTAAGGCATGCCACATGCTTTTCAGGGGCTTGTGGGCCTTGCTGGGGTGTGACTCGGTGGTAGAGTGTGTGTTTAGTATGTCTGGGGTCCTGGTTGTTAGGGACTTAGCATCTGTCCAGTAGACAACAGGGAAGAGAATGCACACGTGAGGACTTGTGGGGAGTGTGGTGGTCCTGTGAGGGGGTACAGGTGGAGCATGGCCGGGGGTGGGGGGGGTGGGGGGGGAGTGGGGGGGTGAGGAGTGGGGGAGGAGTCAAACAGGAACAGCTTGCAACCGGGGCTCAGCTGCCTTTGTGGCCAGAGACCTGGCTTGTGGCTGTTGACCAGCAAGTTTCCAAGGAAAGCCCACAGTTGAACCAAAAGAGCAAAAGGTCCGGAAGTCACTGACCTGGATGGGTGCCCCCGCCCAGGGTGCCAGCACTTTTGTTACAGGTGGAAGGACAGGCAAGTCGAAGCAGAGACTTGGCACCTTGTACGCCCACCTGGGGTCGGGGAGTGTTTCGTGGGCTGGCGGTTTTAACTAAATGTGGAGATTGGAAGTAGGGTGAAGACTGATGGCACTTGCTTTCCTTTTTCAGGTCATCTGACTGGAAGGTTGGTATGTGTGCCCTGAATGAGAGCCTGGCCTGCTGCGTGCACCTGGACCTCTTGGGGTTGACTTCGACATGCTTTTTAGGTGTCTACCAGCTTAAGACTGCTTTGTGTGGTGGCTGTCAATAAATGGAGTTTGACCACACTGTTTTGATTGCTTGTCTGACAGTGTCTCACTGTGTGGCCTGGCTGGGCTGGTCCTTGGAGATCCACCTGCCTCTGCCTCCCAGGTACTGGGGTGAAGGCATGTGCCACCACACCCAGCTTCACACTCTTGGTGGTTTCTGTGCCTGTGCAAGTGTGGGCTTGCATGGCCACCATGGGTTAAGTGGCCCTGTTCCCACCCAGTTGGTTTGAGCACAAAGCACACACCTATCAGGGAAGGTAGGCTCTGGGGCTCCGGGTCCTGAGGAAGCTAAGTTGTAAGGGATTGTCTTGATTGGGAGATGTCCAAGTCCCTGGGATCCCGGGGCCTTCTGGGCTCTCCTCCCGATCTCCACAGGAGTTAGCAGACGGACAGTGGCTGTTCTGGGATCTACTCACCTGTGTGCCCTGGGGTTACTGAAACCCATTTGCTGGTGCACCTCTTAATTTTATGTGTGTATGGCTGTTTTGCCTGAATGTAGGTCTGTGTCTTTGGAAGCCATTGAATCCCCTAGAACTGGAGTTACAGATGGTTGTGAGGCACCCTATGGGTGCTGGGAATCGAACCTGGGTCCCTGCTAGAGTAACCAGTGGGCTTAGCTGATGGCACATCCCTCCAGTCCCAGCTGGTATGCCTCCTAAACCCACACGGGCCCCTTGCTGGCTGGCTGGCCTTGCAGATAGGTAGGAGGGGCAGTGTTTTCTGTAGGGTGAGCTCTCCCTCTCCTGAGCCTCAGGGGTCATGGCTGGGGTCATCCTTTGGTGCTACCTTTGTCCTGGACCCTTGGTCCGTCAGGCCCAGCATCCTCAGCAGGATCAGAACCACCAGTGTCCCTGCTTGGGCCCAGTCGCACGTCTAGGAACCGTGTCACAGGTGGGGCACTGGGGCACGCTGCTGGCAATGAGTGTTTGGTTGTTCACAAGAGCACAGTGTGCCTCGTCTCCCATATTGCACTGGGGTTGTTGGTACCGTGTGGAAGCCTGGCTTGCTATGTCATTGAATGTGACTCATTGGGCCTCTGTGGTCCTAACATCCCATTATCCAGCTAACTGAGGGCCTACCCAGATGTAAGGACTTGAGTGGTTTGCAACCAACCAGTAATAGAAGGATTTAAAGCATTGGGGGAGGGGGGGACCTTGGAAGTTTCTGGTGTCTAGCAGCCCTTTAGGTGGCCAAGGAAGGGCTCAGTGTGGAGGCAGAGACAGCTGGGTTTTCCACAGGGGCTTCATGTCCCAGCTCTAGCACCGGCCAGCCCTGTGGACTTAGGCATGTCACTTCGTTTGTACCTGGAGGGCCTTGATACAGAGATTGTGATGGTGACAGTGCTCCGTAGGGTAAAGTGGGGTCACCCCATGGAAGGAGCCCCGATCTACCGACAGCTGAGGTAGCTGCGGACTCCTGGCATCGCCTCCACATCACATTTGGGCCTCACGAAAGCGGCTCCATTGTCCACGTGCTGTCTCTAGAAAAAGACTGCTGCCTAAATTAATGTGTTAAGATGCAATGTTCACTGGAAAAAAATAGTTTGTACTGATCTTTCTGGAGTAGACTGTTTTGGTGGCATGTCCCTGACTCATCCTGGTGTGGGGTGTTTCTTCTGCCCACAGAATGTGGTGTCTTCATGGTGGCTCCAGTCTGCACCCAGAACTTGTCTGGGCAACTGGAGCCTCTTGTTCTGTCCTGGTTTGACAGTTTATTCAACGTCAGCTCTTGGGCCCCTCTGACCATGGGTCTGACTGACAGCTTGCAGAATGCTGTAGGTGGAGCTACTCAAGACCCCATGGTCCTTCCAGTCAGCCAAGGAAGGGTGCTGCAGAATCCGAGAGTTCACCGTGGCCTGGGCTTTTGAGACAGGACCTCACACCCAGTTCTGAATGACTTGGTACCTAGTCCAGCCTGGACCCCCCAGCATCCTGCCACACCCCACTGCTGGGATTACAGGCACGAGCCTCCGAACTATTCTGGTGGGTTTTTTAAGACAGGAACTCACTGTGTAGTCCAGGCTGGCCCTGAATTTGCGGTCATGCCTCAACCTTCATGCTTGTGGTACAAAGTGCCACTACCATGCTTTGTGCTCAGGGACTTCTTAGGCAGAAGTTGGCCCAGGGCCAGGGAAAGGACTAACGGAGAGATGATCATGAGGTCCGGTGACCTGAGCTGAGGTGCCAAACCCTCCCGGGTAGCACTGGTCCTATTCCGGCTAAAAATGCTGCCCTGAGGTGGCCTCTGCTGATGTCATTGTTGACTGTGGCAGTAGGCTCCTGTGACTAGCTTGCTAGCTGCCTTTGGGACTCAGGAATAAAGATTCCACGGAAGCCAGAATATTTCATGTGGCTGGAAGAGTTCCCAGCCAACCTCTGCTCCATTTATTTCTTCCACAGATCCCCCAACCTTGTGCTTGCCTAGCCTTTGTGCCTAGCCGCTGACCAGTTGACCCCAGACAACACAGGCATGCTTAAGACGATGTCTTGGCATGTCCTGGACAGGCCCGAGCCTCTGTGAGCATCTTTCTGGATTCCATAAGGATTAGGGCTGGCCCAGGAAATCTGTGGTCAAGAAGGCCCCAGTGCTGGGGAGGTAGCCAAGCTGGAAAGGTACTTCGTGAACCCGAGGACCTCTGTTTTATTCCCAGAACTCAAGTAAAAAGCTGGACATGGTGCCATGTGACAGAGCAGGCAGATCGCTGGGGTTCACGGGCCCCTGGTGTAACCTACGTGGTGAGTTCCAGGCCAGTGAGGGGACGTGTCTCAAAAGCAAGGTGGGCAGCACTTAGGGAAATACCCGTGACACCGGCTAAAGGAAGTCCTTAGACCAGCAATCCTTGTTGGTCAAGTAGGACTTGTAGCTTCTCTTCCTGTCCACTAGAGGGTGCAATCCCACATCGGGCGCTCTTTGCAACTGCCGGTACCACAAAGCCTAGGGTTCGTTTTGTTTCTAAAGCCAAGACTTTCTTCAGCAGGAAGCTATGTGGGAGATGCAGCTGCAGGGCGGGGCTCCTGCTTAGGAATCGTCAGTTGGTCCCAGTTGTGCTCGGTTCCTGGGAAATGCTTGTGTCCTGGAACAGCTGAGCCGTCTGGGCTTGTGCATTTGGGGACAAGGGCATTTCTAAGGTGTCTCTCCACACAGAGACACGCTTCAGCATCCTCTCGGCACACGTGTTGATATGTGGATTCCCCAAGTACGAAAGGTTTAACAGTGGTTCTCAGCCAGTGGGTTGCGACCCCCTCAGAAAACCTCTATCTCCAAAAATATTTGCATTACCATTCATAACGCAATTAGTTATGAAGTAGCAACAAAAATTAATTTTATGATTGGGGGTCACCACAACATGAGAAACTGTATTAAAGGGTTGCAAGCTTTAGGAAGGCTGAGAACCATTGGTTTAGAAATGTCCAAAGCAAGAACATCCTGTACTTGTTGATGAAGAGTAAGAGATGGAGCCAGTGTGTTAGATTACTAATTGCCAGCCCGATCTCTGGGAGTTCAAGGCCATCCTGGTCTACAGAGTGAGATCCAGGACAGGCACCAAAACTACACAGAGAAACCCTGTCTCTAAAAAACCAAAAAAGAAAAAGAAAAAAAAAAGGAACGGGCTGGTAAATGGGGAAGTAGAGTCAGGATTCTGGAAGTGTGGTCCTCTGAGCCTGGTTAACACCTTCCTGATGTCTCAAACACATTTAATTGAGCTTTCTGATGGATCCCAATGAAGTTTAATTAGACACTAAGTGCTGGCCTCATTAGGCTACAGACTCCCTCTGGGAACTTCGATCCCTGGGGGAAGATAGGAAATATATCAGAGAAGGTGTGGGGTCCCAGGAAGATAGGAAATATATCAGAGAAGGCGTGGGGTCCCAGGAAGATAGGAAATATATCAGAGAAGGTGTGGGGTCCCAGGAAGATAGGAAATATATCAGAGAAGGTGTGGGGTCCCAGGAAGATAGGAAATATATCAGAGAAGGTATGGGAAAGAAAAGCAAGGGAGGACGGGATTGAGGTTTTCAGTCCTAGATGAGGAAGCCAGGAAATGCCAAAGAGGTGACCTTTAGCAAAACCCAAGGTCGGAGAGTAAGTGGGATGGCAGAGGGAAGGCCAGCACTCTGGGTGCAGACACGAAGGGTTTTGGGGGTGCCGAGCCAGTCTCCTAAGGCCCAACAGGCTCCCAAGTGGGAGGCTTTAGCTTCCTGGAAAAATGGAGCTAAAGTGTGTGCATGCTTTCTTCTTTGGAGGGCGTGGGAAAGCTTACCACTCAGGAAGTAGCTTATGTGAGGAGCCTTTCTTCTTGTACTGATGAATATGCCCACCGAGAGGACCTGCAGTCTTTGCCTGAGGGATGACGGGAGTAGAACACACTGTGACAGGTAAAGACAGTCCATGCCACAGCCACATAAAGCCCTTGTCCAGTCACCATATCTAGAAGCCTGCTGCCTCCATCTTGGTCCTGCTGCAGGGTGTGTGTGTGTGTGTGTGTGTGCTGTGCTAAGGGTTGAACCTAGGGCCTTGGGCATGCTAGGCAGGTACTCTACCATTGAGCATGTGCACACGACTGTGCCCCCAGCCCTCAGTTTTACTCTTTATTTTGAGACAATCTTGATATGTTGCAGAGGTTGGCCTTCAGCTCATCCCTCTGTAGCCTAGACTGCTGGGCCTTGGACTTGTGACTGGCCTGCCGTGTCCTCCAGGAGTAGCTGGGATTACAGGCCTGTGCCTCCAGCCCCAGCTGGTCCCAGCGTGCACGGGTTCCCTTGCTCATTCCTGCCCCTGCCCCAGCTGCTCATGGGTGGGAAGCGCTTAGGACTCAGCTTTTCAACAAAAACTGGATGTGCTTGTTTTGTTTAAGTCTCTGTTTAAATCTCGAGCAGGAAAACCACAGAAGCGCTTTCTCTTCTAATCTTTACAAGCAGAAGCCTGTCTGGGCTTCGGATGGTTCACAAAGAACAACCATTTGTTCTGGTTTTTGTTTCCAGATCAATTATACAGCTACAGCCGAGAACTGGCTCTGTCCTTGCATGTGTGTAAGTCACTGGAAGGTCACTTGTCCCCAGACTGTCAGCTGGGAGAATTATGTAACGGTTATGCAATACGGCTAGAAAGCAGCCGCCATCAGCCCCCTCGGGCAGAGCAATGGAGTGGAAGCGAGGCCCTGCCTCCCTCCCGTTCGCTCTCTCGAGGTGATGGGCTTGAACCCGGGCCTTGAGCATGCTGCACCAAGCCCAGCCCCAGCCCTGTGGTCCTTCTTACCCAAATCTGAACTTGCTCTTCCTATCCCTCTGCGGTTGCTCTGTCTTCTGACACAACCTCCTGGGAAGCGTAGCTGTCGTTGGAACCCCCTCGGACGAATGCCCCATCTTTGTGCCAGAATCCTTCATCCTTTTGAAAGTTAGTGGGGAATAGGAAAGCAATATGAGTAGGTCATATATGAGGCCGTAAAAGCCTCATTTCCAACATGGCCGCTCTTCTTGGGTGTCCGTGTCCCCTCTCTGTTTCCAGGATGATAGGCCCGTTCAGATTCACCTTGTCCTTGCCTGTTGACATCCTCTCTGGCAGGTTGGGGTGAAGCCCTTGCTGACCGCCGCCTTGTCCCAGGACCACCATCCTGAGGACTCTAGGCTTTAGCGCCTGCTCAGCTGGCTTCAGGCGTAGGCTGTAATATGCACGTGTGAAAATCCTCACCACCTGCCGTAGCAGCGGGCAGGGATTATGCCATCATACTCTTTCTTCGGTTTCCTCATTGTCCCCCGGCCTGCTTTGTTCCTTGGCCAGGAGCCTTTGACCATCTTGCGATGCCTTCCCACATTTCCTCCTGGCCAAGAAGGCACAACTTTATTCCAGGACAATCACATTACATGACTTGTTCCTCCCGTTTTTTTTTTCCTCAGAAGTGGACAAGCCCATTGAGATAATTTAGTTTAATATGTGTTAAAATTCTGTGAGAGGAGCTGGAGAGGTGGCTCAGAGGCTCAGAGCGCTTGCTGCTCTTCCAGAGGACCTACCTGGGTTGGGTTGCCAGCACACACGTTAGGCAGCTCACAGTCCCATGTAACTCCAGCTCTAGGGGATCCAGCACCCTCTTGGCCGCCACAGGTACCTGCATGCAGCTGCATGCACAAATGCATGCACACTCACGTATACACACACATTCAAAATAATAAAAATGTTTTTTAAAACAACAAAAATGTTCTATGACACTTTTGCAATCAAGGGTCATGGTCCTGAGAGACCAATTTGGAAATGTATGTTATTGTGGGTGTTTTGTGGGGGAATTTAGAGGCTGGATTATCACTCTCTAGTGAAGCACAAAAGAATCCTGGCTCACAGTGCCTAATATAGTCCAATGAGCAGGTAACTGGTTTTCTTGGTAACTTCTACATCTTGCAACCTCTTCCCAGAAGGAAGGTATGCATTAGACCAGGTGCCAGGTAGGAAGACTCTGTAACAAGCCTGCTTCAGACCAGTGTAAAATCACTGTCTTGGTTAAATCTCTGTATTGGTCCTGAAGGCCTGGCATATTGTATTTTGGCTGAATGGACAAAGGTCCCCCTGGGACCTTATCAAAATGCAAATTTTCCCTAGTCCCTGGGGCAAGGCCTGAGGCTCCCTTTTCTCCTGGGCCTGGTTCAGAATGAAGGTGAGCTTGTTTCTCCAAGCTGGCTTCTCTTACTCAGAGGTGGTACACCTAGGCCCTCCAGAGCACTGGCCTTGCTGTATGCACACATGTGGATGTTCTGGCCGTTTTAGATTTATCTATTTTTATGTTTTGAGTGTTTTGCCTGCATTTATATGTGTGTGCTGTATACATGCAGGAGCCTGTGGAGGCCAGGAAAGGGCATTAGGTCCCCTGGAATTGAAATTGCAGATGGTTGTGAACTGCTATGAGGATACTGGGAACTGAACCCTGGTACTCTCCAAGAGCAACAAATGCTTTTTTGCGGGGTTTTTTTTTTTTTTTTTTTTTTTTTGAAGACAGGGTTTTTCTGTGTAGCCTTGGCTGTCCTGGAACTCACTCTGTAGACCAGGCTGTGCTAGAACAATCCACCTGCTCCTGCCTCTGCCTGTGCTGGAAGTGAAAGCATGTATCACCACCAGCAGACCACCTGGCCACCTGGCCACAAGTGCTCATAACTGTTGAACCATCTCACCAGCCAGGCGGATGTTCATGAAGGAAGGGCTGGCTAGCACTGGCTGCTCATCTGGGCTTCTGTGTGATACAAGGTGGCTTCTCAGGCCTTGGTTTCTAGTGATGTCACAACAATCACTGCCAAATGTCTCAAGGCCTGCAGTTTCCTAATTAAAACCAGAATCTTGTTTTATTAACAATAAAACCTCTTCACAATCCAGAAAACCGTTCCGCAAAGGTCACAGAGGACAGTCTTTTTACTTTTAATTAATTAATTATTTGTTTGTTTATTAAAATAATTTAAATTTATTTTATGTGCACTGGTGTGAAGGTGTCAGATCCCCTGGAACTGGAGTTACAGATAGTTGTGAGCTGCCATGTGGGTGCTGGGAATTGAGCCCAGGTTCTCTGGAACAGCAGCCAGTGCTCTTTAACCACTGAGCCATCTCCCCAGTCTCGAGGAGAGTGTTTTTGAGGCATAAGCCAAAAACGCAAGGTGCACCATGGGCGGCGGCTGGTAGAACGGGGCAGTCTCCCTCTCCTGTGGCTGTCCGGCGGATGTGAGCCTCAGCAGACCACAGAAGCCACAGTGTGGCCTGGCCAGTGGACATGCCATTCAATACGTGGAGACACGTGGCCACTGAAGGAAGCAATCTCCTGGCTGATGGCACTTGTGGGGGGCTCCAGGGTTCTGGGGGATACTACAGAGAGGGGAGTCTGGAAGAGGCCCCCGTCAGCACTGAAGAGTTTACACTCCCGTGGAGAATGCAGAGACCTTAGGAACAGACGAGAGGGAGGGAGGGAGGGGGCTTCCCTTTTTGTTGAAGAAGGAGAACTATCTTTAATGTTTTATTTCTTTACCCTCACAGGACAGCCAATTTGTTAGCTTCCGTCTGGACAGTTCTAGAAGACGTTAAATCTACAGCTCTGTCCCCAAAACTCTCCTAGCTGCTTTTCATTCTGTGCACTCTGAGACCTTGAACCAAAGACAGCCTACATCATCCCAAGCCACAGCCGGGCGGTCCTGCCAGATGTGATGTGACGTCTGTATGGCCAGACTAAGTGGCTTCTCATGAGAAGTACAGTCCTGTCCCCACCTGACACTTCTGGCGCAGGCAAGATTATAGATATACTTAGCCATGTCCTGGATGGAAGGGGGGCAGCTCTCACGGCCTCTGTAAGCTGCTATTTACCAAAAGGGTAGAGAAAGCCGAGGCCCAGGTGGCTGTGGTCCACCTTGGAGTAGTTCTGGGGGCAGTACCAATCTCCGTGTGTTATTTTCACTAAACACGAAAGGCTCTGCATCTTCTTTTAAGTTCAGATCTTAGTTTTACTGTAGTTCTGGGTGGGGAGACCCTGCAATACCATGTCTCAATCTCTATTTCCTTTTTTGTGAAGTGGATTTCACAGCTCCTTGGCAGTCATCTCAGAAGGGGCATAAAGCGTGAAGGATCCTTACTGGAGGGAGGGAAATGCCAGGAAAGCAAAAGCAGGGTGTGTGGGGGGGGGGGCGCGTCGCGTCACTCAGTAGAAGAGCGGGGTGCTCAGAATTCACAAGGCCCTGTGTTCCATCCCTGTCACACACACACACACACATACACACACACACACACAGAGAGAGAGAGAGAGAGAGAGAGAGAGAGAGAGAGAGAGAGAGAGAGAGAGCTATATACTTTCCACTAGTCCAATAAAACCAGGCAAGAAGGAGAAGGCATGATCAGGAGTTCAAAGTCATCTCCCTTCACCTAGAAAGTTCCGGGCCAGTTTGACAACAGGAGACCTTATCTCAATACAAAACAGAAACAGAAAGTGTTTTTTTCCAGAAAGAAGTGGCAGTCACTCCCTGACTTACCTAGGAAATTATGAGAAAGGGTACAGGGTTCAGAGGACGGAGAGAGAAGGAGCTGGAGGCCTGGAAGGTTCAGTGAGTCAGGGACAGCCAGTGGGGGGGGGCAGGGACAGCCAGTGGGGGGGGGGGCAGGGACAGCCAGTGGAGGGGGGGGCAGGGACAGCCAGTGGGGGGGGGCAGGGACAGCCAGTGGAGGGGGGGGCAGGGACAGCCAGTGGAGGGGGCAGGGACAGCCAGTGGAGGGGGGGGCAGGGACAGCCAGTGGAGGGGAATAGGGCTTTCAGTAAAGAAAAAGGTAAAAAGTATGTTTTAGGGGAAATATTTTGAGACCCTCATTCAGATTTAGAATTAAAGGTACAGGGCACACAGTAGAACCATGACTAAATACTGCATGAGGCAGCCTATGTTTAAAAGTTTAGCTGAGGGTTCCTGTGTAATTATGGCTGCTCCTTTGTTTCTTCTGGCCTCCCTAGCTCTGAAGACAAAAGAGATTCTCAAGATGTCTGAGGGAATGTGCCTTGGCCACTAACAGCGCCCAGAACTGGCAAAGTTAGTTTTTTATCTACAACTGAATTCCAGGAAGCCCTTGTATTAGACTCCCTATCCCTGTGACCAAACACTGACAAGCAGCAGCTTAGGGGCTGACATCTCAGTGGCTAAGAATGCCTGCTGCTCTGGGGAACATGAATTCAATCCCTGGCACCAATGCCATGTGGCTACAACCACGCCAGTTCCAGAGGGTCTCACAGTCTTTCTCTGTCTCTCTGTCTCTGTCTGTCTGTCTGTCTGTCTCTCTCTCATACACACACACCTTTATTTTAAAGAATTCTGAAGAAGGGAGGATTTATTTGGGCTCACAATCTGAGGTTTAATCATGCAGGGGGTCACGTGGATCCCCAGTGAAGACTCAAAGGATGAGCATGGGTACTCAGCTTGATTTCTCCTTTTGGTCTTTCAGGGTGGTTCTTCCCTGCTGAGTCAGACTTCTCTAGAAAGTTCCTCATAGACACAACCACAAGTGTGTCTCCTGGGTGAGTCCAGATCCAACCAATGGCCACAAAGTCTAGCCCTCCACCCTTTCTGAGCTCACAGGGACAGTTCTAGTGGAGTCAGGATTGAAAGAGACTCACCCCTATCACCAAGAGGCCCTTGGTATTTATTTGTTTGCTTATGACTCTCCTCCATGTTCCCATTCTTGGTCTCAGTGATTTATAGAACTGCTTGTCCCCACCCATCACAGGGGGCAAAGTATTTACCCACGAAACGTGTGTGGGGTGTCTCTTCTCCCCCAGGCCCTGAATTTGAGCCCGGCTGTGGAGGCCCACAAAGGTTTCCTAGTGAGATCTGAGTCTTCTTTACCCAACAGAGGTGCATTAGAGGACTGCTTTACCACGCACATGGTTACCAGGTGTTTGGAAGGGTCTGCACTTGGGTGTGTGGTGTGCTTCCATCTAGCAAGGGGAGGTCTTTTGCCTTGCCCCTTGGCATTCCTTTAAAAAGCCCTTTAGAAGAGACAGAAGGGGCTGGTAGATAAGGACCCAGGCCCTCCCAAGGCTATCCTGTGTTTCTATCTGTTTCTCTCCCCTGTGTCCTTCTATCTAAATATTTCTCACTTCTCCCTCCTCAAGAGTATCCTGGGATAAAAGTGGGAGTGGGTCTCCCACAGATGGCACCATGAACAGGGTCCAGGGACTTGG